TACTAGGGGCTCCTGGCATCGCTACTCGGAGCAAGGACGCTACTAGGAGCAAAGGGCATCGCTACTAGGAGCAAGAAGCTACTAGGGGCTCCTGGCATTGTGATCCTTGGTCTTTCAAACCTCAGCCTTGACACACGACGTGTGAAGAATAGCTGGGTACCGGTACTGGCATAGAGTTGAAGAGTATGAGTAGGAGTTCTGAGTCTCAGGCTGGCAACATCCGGGTCTCCGAACACCAAACCAGCACATCCAAACAATGAACAGGCTGAAATCTTTATCTTATTTAGGATGACTGTCTTTGACCATGTTGTTCTGCAAAATGTGAACACCTACGAATCCCATTGATGTAGGCGGCACAACTGTGTCCAACCAACATTTCCCAGTATCGCTGGCACTTCCCTGCCTCCAAGCACACTGGGCATTTCGCCTCTGGCTGGAGCACATGCCTCGCATGGCGCAACCAAACCTGTCCCTATCAAAAGGTATCAGCCTACAGATAATAATAATGGGTCTGCCGAACAAAACAAGATCACATCTAGGTTTGGTCACATCTGCTTGTCCATGCGGGAGGGTTCAGTCGCCCCTGCTTAAGACATACACACACCCAGTTCGGTGCTAAATTACCGGATATAACTGATGGCTTCATTCCCTTGTAGCCTGTAGCCTTCCAAGTAAAGTGAGTGTTGAGAAGCACCAAACCAAGGCTGCGCAAACCAGGTAGGTAGCTTGAAGGTCCAAATGGTTTGATTTGACCCAGCACATGCCAATACATGCCTTGATCATTGATACGTCATGAAACCAATTACATTTGGAACCATGTATGTCCTCACGCGTTCCGGCATTGGATTCGGCAAGAGTCGCACTGAAGAGTGATGTATCCCAAACCTACAGTCTGCCGTTCCCATGAATCCCCCTGCGTGCGTTCTCCAAGGGAATCTACTGTAGCCATCTTGGAGTCAAGTAGATCGTTGGTCGGAAGATGGCCACACACGAATCCGGGAACAACCGGAATGTGGAACAGAAATGAACAAAATGTCCATCATCTTTAGATGTGCGTACACCTCCTGTTGGTCCGCATCATTTCACCTCTTGCATGCCCGAAGACCCTAAAGGCCCGTTGAGCCTCAAATTGGGGAGGCTTGAAGAAGCGCCACTGCCGACAATCACGAAGCGAACGGGCTGCGGCATGGCGCCCGCTAGCGAAAAGGGATTGGGGGATCGGCCCGGTGTCGTGTGGGTTTGGGAAAGTTGTTGGTCCGTTCGTAGCGATGCCAGGAGCTACGATTAGCGTCCTTGTTACTAGTACGGCCAGGAGCCCCTAGTATCCTTGCTCCTAGTAGCGATGCCTGGAGCCCCTAGTAGCGTCCTTGGTCCTGTGGCTTAGAATCAGAGATCCCATGGTTGACGATTCACATGGGGTCAATGATAGCTCGTGGCTTCTGTGAGTTTAGCAGCTCGTATCCTACTGAGAATGATTTCATCAAATGTTCAGACATATCTTCTTCAGCTTTTGTAGAAGAAGAGCCCACGGCTAACGATGTCTCTTCTCTTGATGCAGTGTTTCTTCTCTTGCTGCAGTTCAGCCAACCTTGAACTTCCGGGCTGCCTGAAAGCACACACGCTCAAAGAAAAAAATGATTCACAGTAGGTTGGAGGCCATCGCTATCAAAATTATTAGGTTGAAGGCCATCGCTCGTAGGTTGGAGGCCATCGCTGTTAGGTTTCTTAAAGCATGTTTTGGGTATTGGTCCTATAAGGGTATTGCACGTGTCTCCTGGAACTTTGCTGATGCTCCGGATTGATGCTGACCCTTTGGAGAATCCGACATGTTGGCGAGTCGAGTATGACTTTGGGGCTTCACCACAGCTTTTGCATGCCATTGCAAATGATATCGCTATGACCCACATGATCGCTGGGTTGTCCATTGCTAGATACGAGATGAGTCAGGCTTGATTGAAAGATATTGAAACCTTCATATCTGGCGCAGGCGGCTGTTGGTTTTCCAAAGGCACGCTTGATCTCCGCATCACTCCTCAAGCCAAAAAACGAGTGGGCACTGTGAAATCACCAGGAACTGACAGAAGTTTGACTCTTAGTAGCCTGCCTTCCCTGGCCAATGGACATCCAACCCTAAGGTGCCACTGGAAATTCTTCTTTTGGTCTGGTGCCTGACTGCTAGACAGAACTGACTGACTAGAAACGGGGTATAAATTAGCCACGGAGGACGAGTACAATTTGTTTGCCATCGGGCCATTGAGGGCAAAAGCCAATAGGATGATTCAGGGAACCCAACCATGTGTCCCCATCTTTGAGGATCTTCACTCCAACATTTCAACAACTCAAGTGCTCAACTACTGTGCCCCAAAAGACTGACGCGGCCCCTTCGTTGGCCACACACCCACACTCGCATCCAAGGAACGGCAGGCAGCGCTCCTTTGCCCATGGCATCCTCAACCGGCTGGTCTAAACGTACGGATGGTGAGAATGAACGCTTGGCGTGGTTTTCTTGCACTGTGACCCATGTTATCGGCTTAGAGTGGGGCTTAGGAAGACCATTGATTCAAAGGCTCCCATGTTAAAAACTCTGGGATCGACGGCAAAGTCTTATTTCCCCTTCAAGTGTCTTTTCCTTTTCGGCCGCCGAGATACGCACATTGCTGGAGCATCCTCGTCCTCAAAGCCACCCTGGGCCAGCAGGTTGGTATCCACTGCAAATCATGGTTGAGGTGGTTTGCATCTTGTAATATCTGGCACACCTGTATGCCTTTCCTCAAGACACGAAACGCATTCTTTTCACATGGTTTGAGGTCTCATAAGTTTGCACACCCTGCTTGCAGCGTCTTCATGTGTCATTGCTCTGTGTTATTGCATTTCGAGGAATCATCATGAAGAGCAGTGTTGCGCCCCAAACGCATCTTGGTTGGACTGAAGCTGTTGCCCACAGGGTCGCAAAGAGTCTGCCAGCATGTGCTGTGGGAGTCTGCCAAGATCAATCGATCACTCTCTCTAGCGTTGCTTGTGCCAAGGAGAAAATGAAGATGGAGAGAACATGAAGATGTACAATGTACAAGTTGTGCTTGGATGAAATATATATATATATGTATGTCTGCTGTCTTTTGCCGTCAGGCCGTGAAAAAATGCAACAAAAAGTGTGGTTATAGAGCCACCCGGCAAAAATCCTGCTTCAAGACTTCTCAAGATGTCAAGATACTTCAAGATCTACATTATCTATGAGTCTATGCCAATCACAGCAGCTCCGGCTTTATCTTTCGTGGAATGAATTGGACAAATGGCAAGCAACTTCCCTGAAGTGATGAACACCCTCCACGTGCACACAAACAACACTCAGAGGCGATGTTCTTCTGCTAAGTAAACCGAAATGAATCTGAATGTGTCTGGTGAAGGGCAAGCCAAGAATGCCCCTAAATATTGCGAATGCATCGAGCCCTTTGGTCGTTCTTGTCAAGGCCAGAAAAAATCAGAAAAGCACTCACATTTCACCTAACAGTCTCCTTCCAAAAGCAGCTAGAGACTCGGAGCCTGACGGAAAGAGGAAAAAAGGCGAGTGCTTTGCCCGGTTTCCCTCGAGCTGGTCCCCAGTTCTCACCCGCATCATGTTCGTTCTTTGGCCGCTGCGCCTTCCAATCTTGGAAGGCGGGCATATTTTGCCGGGAGTCCTCGCATCGCCATTTCCGGCAAAGTTGCATGTGTGTGTGCATTTACCTCTCTAACCTACAGTGTAACAGTAGTTAGAGGGCCATACTAGGCCCTCTAACCTGTATATAGGACCTGTTGGTAGAGGGCCATAAATAGGGAGACCATGGGAGACCCCTAATTTATTTGTCCTTCTTCCAGTGGGACTTTGGTTTCGCTCCCTCAACCCTCCACATCAGGCTCTCAAAGTTGGGGATGACCGTCATTAGCTCTGTCATGCTCTGTCGTTTCTTGCATTCTTTGCCTCGTTTCATCACTCCAAAAGATGAGTCATGTTGTCGGTCTAGTTCAGGTCGGGCTAGGTCTTCGGTTTTCCAGCACCTCCAAAGCGCATCTAAATCCCCGACATTCCTTTTCGGTCGACCCCGCCAGGAATGCTTTCTTGACCGATTTGAGCCGAAAACCACGTGTGATCCCAACGGGCTCGATAACCCATGTGTGATACATGAACGAGAATCATGTTGAAAAATGTTGAAAACCATTTGCCAGCATTTGCCAGGTCCAAACAACCACTGACTTATGAGCTGTGTCAAATGCCCATCCAGTCCCTGACATCCCCTGACCCGTTCCCCTCCTTGTAGTCTCCGTCAAAGCGGTAGACAGCCACCAAGCCATCCCGCCGGCATTCGGCATTCCTGGTAGCCCACCAGGCCACTGCTCAAATGATTTGTCACAGACTCCCGGATGTGTCTTGAATCGGCCAAGAATGTGGCAACAAGTTTGTTTGGTCGTCCCTTGAGGCTACAAGAGATGATTTTGGATTCAGAAATGCACCCCCATCATTGCAACAAACGAGAATCAATGGTGACCCTCCAGCAGTGTTCCACACCTAGGAGGTCCGTCGAAACACAATCGATTCTTCAATTGATATCAACCATCCACCGAGCCCATCGACTCTGTGACGACACTGTGACCTTCACCCCTCCCAAATCCATCTCCAATATTACAAGTGCATCGCTACTAGGAACAAGTGCATGACTACTAGTAACAAGAAGCTAGGAACAAGTGCATCGCTAGCTATATACTACTAGCAAATAGCTACTAGCAGCTCAACCTGACCCCACCCGACCCATCCCACCTGTGAAGGATTTCCTCTTGCGATAAGGCCCGGTCCCAGAGTGCGAGACGTCCAAAGCGGGAGTCGTGCTCAAAGGCCTTGCCTTTGGCCTCTCGATGTCCAGGACCCAACAAGAGTCGGTGGCCCATGGCTGTGGGGTTGAAGCCAGAATTCCAGGTCTGGAGTCCTTAGTGCAAAGTCATGTGGATACATGTTGTTTTGCATCCTCCCTGCTTTTACACGTGATGGTCTGCACCATTTTTCGTAGATTGCCCGCTTTCAGCTTAAATTTCCTGGCCAATTCGGGCCGGGAAAATGGGCCAGTCGTTTGACCTCGTTTCGCTGCACACGTCAACCTTTGCGAGGCAGAGTAGAGGCTATGACGCATCGCTCATTCGTGGTTCCTTCGCAAGGTTGAGAGGCATCGAGAAATGGTCAGAGCATCGACTGAATTTTAATATGACGCTCAGAATAGCAGATTCACAGGCCGAGCTCGATGCACAACAGCACAAGCGAGTTCGATGCACAGCGCAACTAGCAAAAGAGCCAAGAATATTTAAAAAAAGAAAATAATCAATCGGTGCTCCTGTTTTAATGTTGCGCAAGCGAAAAAGGCCGGATGAATAGCACAGGATGACAAACTATGACAAACTCACATATGTCTTTTCATGTATGTTCTAACTGACTCACAGTCAAGCTAAAATGCGGACAATAAAAGACGCTCCAAATAAAAATCCGGTCATCCCCGATTGGCTTCGTCCCAGCGAGATGATCTCGCTGGCAATGCCAGACCGACCCCAGCGATGCCAAGGGTCCCTTGTCGTAGCTTCGTTGGAGTTCCGCCTCCAAACAGCCATCGACGTAGAGTCGCATGAAGCGTTCGCTGCGGCTGAAGGTGGTGACGATGTGATGCCACGCGCCATCCAGCAGGTTTTTGCCTCAGCATGTCGTTGATCAAGCAAGGAGAGGTCGGAGAGGTCGCATCCACCAAAACATGGACGTTGATTGATGCATCAATGCTCCTTCTCAAGTTGCCACGGATTAGCAACCTACACTAAACACTTAGGTTGGGAAGCCATTGCCAGAAATGGCGGAAGCCCGCTAAGTCAACCGGTTTGCAACTGTTGTGCCCCACTTCGTTGATTCATCGCTCCATGTACAGCTTAGACACCACACTGAGGCGACCACTCCTTCAAATCACCTGTCAGCGCGGACACTGCAAATTCTGCGTGAGGTCAAAGGTACTTCTTGCTTCAACTGCTTAAACCTGGAGAACAAAAAATGGACACCCGCCGAAGAAAGGCGAATCTTGATTGAGCGAGTTGCCAAGTGGGTTGCAGATCCAAAACCATGGCCGCCGGATTCAAAAACAAAAAACATGGAGCCGACCGAAGCGTGCCAAATGCTCGGAATTGAGGACGGCTACACCTTCAGTTTAGAACAGCATCTGGCGGAACATTACCGTGTGCTGCAGTTTGCAATGTAGTACATTGTTGAATAGAAAAGCTTGCACACAAACACTTGCAGTTTCCCCACCAAGAGATAGAAAGCCCTCCAGGCTACCAGTCACGTCAGGACTGAGTGTTAGAGCAATGTCAATGTCAATCCCCCACAATGAAAATGTGAACATCGCTCACAAAAAAAGAACGAGCAGAACGAAGACCACCCGAGGCGCCATCGAGAACTGCCATCAGATTGATGGTCCCATCACCGCTGATCGTGAGCCAAACGCCAGGCTCCAGTGATCCCACACTATTCCAACTGCCCATCAAATACCTGAGGTTCTGGCAAACCGAAAAAAGATCGCGGTGGGTGTAGGTGTCGGTGTGTGTCCGTAGAGGAAGGCAATTCGAAGGCATGTCCATGTCTTAAGCAAGCGAGGTGGAGTCTTTGGTAGTCAGTCGACCCCAGGCCCCAGTCCGAAGGGAGGCATGTTCATCTATGGGAAGCCCACACCTTCAAGCAAAACGTTGTGCTGTTATGTGCTGTTAAGGTAGAAGGTCTTCAAATCATCTGCTTGCGTACAGTAAATATCAGTAAATCATCAAAAATCCATTTCGTTTGGTTCTACACCTACACGAGCACGTCAAGAAAGAAGAGTCCGAGCTAAAGACACTTCCAAACAGATTACAGAAGCAAATCCAAGAGGACACATGCTCCATGTTGGGCTTCCCCTTGCTTTGCCACATCAGCTCCCAGGTCATCTCATTGCCATCCAGAAGTTGCTGGATCGCCCATCCTGGAGGACGCTGGGTTGGGCTGGTGTCGATACCGGGACGCGGGGGGATCAAAGGAGCCACGGAGCGCATGGGTGGGAGAAGGAGCTCGCAGGTGTGGTGGTGTACATTAAGATATGATATATATATATATATCATATTATATATATACATACATATGATGTTATTGAAAAAAAAATATATATATATATATGATATTTGCTTGCTATGCTTGGAACATCCAAAAAGCGAAGAACTTCCGAGCACCCAGCAGCGCATGTGAGACCCATGGAAAAGACCCTGTCCTTGCAACCTGAGCCCACCAGAGCTCTTCGGGCTCCAGGACCCTGCCTCAGCTAAAGAACACATTTCCAAGAGTGCTGCTGATCTCTTATCTATAGTAACTAGTAACCATTAGATACGTATACATGCCTCAATTCTTTCAGGTTGTCAAGGGAGCCTAGCAGCCAGGAGTTCTTAGGGCAGCTGCATCTCACTGTGCCTGAGTGCCCAGCCAACAAAGGAGCTTCCAGGTCACAAATGCCGCAGGTCGCCTTGAGACGTGGCCGGAGGGGCTATCTTTGACATGGAAAAAAACAGAGGACAAATGGGGAGTCTCCGATATTCTCTTTGGCTAAAAAAACTGCTCAAAGAGAACACCCGCAGCTTTCAGGGAACCTCCAAGAGTCAGTTTGTGTGGAGATCACATGAAACATCATGAAACATATATCTCCAAAAAGCTTGGAAGATCCCAATGATCCCACCAAAAAAAAAGAAGCTACCCCAGCCCCCAAAGCACTCATCCCCACATCACTCTGGCGCCAAGGGGCTGGCAGTGCCTAGGCTCAGTCAGAAAAACTGGCGAAGACAACATTGCTGATGCACTTAGCACCATGGTGTACTTGACCGTAGTCGTTCAAGCTTTGAATCATACAAGGCTGAATGTTGTTGCCGATGTGCAATATAAGTGGAGATCAAGAGACTCAGGCACTTCGTTTACTTCTTTTTTGAACACAAGATAAAGGTTTGGGATAGATTTAGGACACCGTTATGCGAGGGATTGCTGGCGGCGGTACTGTAGTCTGTCCTCCGATGAATCATACCCTCGGAAGCTTCCCAGCCAAGTCCGGAAGACATTTGTGGGCGGGAAATGCACAACAAGTTTCACAACTTAGCCCCAAATCCAGATCTCCTTCTATGGCAACAAGTTGGCTCTCCATCTCAAACATGCAAGGATCCTAGATGTAACCCCTCAGGATGCAGGAATCTTCGGCATCTCATCCGGAACGGAACACATGCATAGCTTTATACTTTCAAAAGAAGCCACCACAGGCAGGTCTTCCAAGACACTCATGTCACTACAAAATTATCTTTGACTTGAAAGAACATTGCGGGCACACTAAAAAATAGAACAAACAAAAACAAAAAAATCAGTCATTGGCAATGGGGGAATGCACACCCGTCTTGTTCAGAACCTGCATCTATATCCTCAGCAAAAAAGAACTTATCATATCATCTTATCATTCAGGAGTACAAAAAAGAGGTCTGGTTCTGCATCTTCAAACACAACCTGAAAAAGCCGGAGCACTGTGGTGGTCTTGGTGAAGGTAGTCGTGCTTGTGCTGGTGGTACTGGTGGAGGTGGATGTAATGCTGGTCGTCGACGTCGAGGTGGATGTAGTGGTCGTCGTGGTGGAGGTGGTCGTTGTGGTGGACTGCAAAAGCAAGGGTACAAGCGCTTCGAGTCCAATAAACTAAGTCGATACATGTTTGACATGCTGAATATTGAAGGCAGTTCGGATTGAGGCCAAAACTTGCCCTATCTCAACGGTTATTGGTGTCTTTCCATACATCTTCATTGATTGCCACTCACCATCACTGAGGTGGTGGCAGTCTGCGTGGTGGTAGTTGTCGTGGTGGAGGTGATGGTGGTGGTCGTCGTTGAGGTGACAGTGGACTGGCGATCGGTTGCTCGGCGTAGCTTGCCAAAAGCTTATGAAGCCTCCAAACTTGAAAGAAACTAAAAATGGATCTGAACATCTGGAAAGGCATTGATCACTTCAAACAAAAATACACGAGAATCTTTTTGCATGAAAAAACACTCGTAGCCACCTGCCCTGCAAAATGCCTTTCAACGCACGACAAACAATTTGTAATTATTATGTTGTATTTAGATGCAAGTAGTGCAAGTGGATTCCAGAGTTGTAGACTCTACATTGTGTTGTGAGCCAATCACATCACCCGCCGTTTCCAAGGTCAGAGCCGTTGTGGTGATGGTGCTGGTGGAGGTGGTCGTGGTGGAGGTCACGGTGGACTGAGAGACAGCAGCCCAGCCATCCAACATATCCAGACAAATCTGGGAGATTCCAAGGTTCTGAAAATGAATCCCATACCCAGAATATCCGAGAATATCCAAAAAAAACCTATTGGCACTGAGTTTATCTCAACGTGAAATGATCTCTCAAACAACGCCAAAATGTTCTGATACCAAGCACATTATCCTGCAAGCATTCTTGTCCACTCCAAATAAGCTCGGTGGACAAAGACAGCTACTACCGAAACAGGTACCAGTGACTATGCTTATGGGGAGGTCCCTTTTTTCTTCACAATTTCTGTTGCTGGTCAGACGGATCCTGCAAGGCGAAGACTGGGAGAAAACAGAAGCAGCTCGACAGTTCATCAGCACGATTGCTTCTCAACACCACCAAAATCAGAAAAATAAGTAAAAACAAGAAACAACTAACTAATTACAGTATCCATCAATTCAGTTCTGATCATTGATGGATCATGAACCGTGATTTGTTTGCACTTGTCTTTGTGACGCTGGATATGAATATCATCCATCCAATTCCTTGGAGGCCGCATCTGACATCCATGCTTGAGGCCGAAACAGTTGTGGTGCTTGTTGATGTCGAGGTGGTTGTCGAAGTCAGGGTGCTTGTGGTGGTCGTTGTCGAGGTAGACTTGGTGCGGAAATTGGATGCTTTTGAAAGTAATGCTGAAAGCTGATTGAAACACTACAGAAAAACTTGCTTGACGAGTGTGTGGCATCGAATGGGCTCAAGTGTTCAATCAAGGCATATATCAAGGCCTTCAGCATGGCATATCAATCCTGCGAACTGCTGGGATTGTGCATCCACCATCGAAACTTTGTGAAGATCGAAAAAACGAAGTCGGTCTGATCTCAGCTTTGGCCCTGACGGTCGATGTGCTGGTGGAGGTTGTTGTAGTGCTGGTCTCGGTGCTCGTTGAGGTCGTTGTGGTGGTCCTGGACTGCGATGCTCGCTGTGAGCAACACAAAGCTCACGGTGCCCGGAAGGCTATGGGTAAGGATGGCAGCAATGCGGGAGTGCTCAGGTATAATAGCATCTAATATTCATAAAAAAAATAAAATATATATATATATAATATCATTAAACTTCATTAAATATCTAAAGGTCTGATCCATGATTCCATGATGATCTATGTACAGTTACTTTTCCCGGGCGTTCTTGACAGCCATAAATCCTTGCATTCCTCTAGTTATGCTCCGTTCGAGTCCTGATTTCGCTTCAAGGCCCTTCATAGAGCGGTTGCATGACTCCGTGCGAATCCCGACGAGAGCCGGGACATGTCAGCCAGGATTCCCATGTGAGAAAGCCGGGAATGGGTTCTTGTGGCACCATGTTGGAACCACTTTTCAAAGTACCCTGACCTTGTAAAACACGAGTCAAAAAGCCTCTTCCGTACAATGACTTCTACCGCATTGAGGTGGCTTGATGATGTTACCATATGTTAGCTAGATGTAGCCAGATGGTCTACTAGATTCTAATGGTACAACAACCTCTTCAACCACCTCTTCGATTACAATCTTCACGGGAACCGAACCCTGACCCAGCAGTGTACCACGCCCTCCGGACCGTCGCGGTGGTGGTTGTGATAGTAGTGGTGGATGTAGTTGTCAACGTGGTGGTTGTGCTGGTCTCCTGATGAACATTCCAGATGTGGCTGAGGGTCACACAGAGAAATGGCCCCATCAGCACGAGTAATGGAATAGCAAGACCAGACATTGACATGACCCCACAAACCAATATCACGACGATGTTCAATGATATTCTTCACATCAACCTCTTTCAAAAACAATAACACCAAAGGTCTGCAAGTTCGACACCATGGTGTCGGTTCACATCAAGAGGGCTGAGATCCCAGCTGTTGTTGTGCTGGTGCTGGTGGTCGTGGTAGACGTGATAGTGGTCGTGCTTGTCGTAGTCGTGCTGGTGGACTGGCACCATATTGCAGCAGAAAGTCTACCAGTTCCATGGGGGTTGCTTGCAAAGCTTTTCGTCAAAAATGGTCAAATCCGGTTTGACCAGGCGCCTTTTTTCTTTCAAGGCGCAAGCTGATCACTCCCCACGATCGGCCAATTCAACAAAATAGTGTCCATATTGACTGGGTTCTTGTCATCTGCCTTCCGTACATCACCGTACATCAGTTTGAATCAACGTAATTAAAGCACCATAGAGCCTGGTCCGAATATTTGTACTTTGAAAAACAAGACTTTCCGTAGCTCCTCGGATTCAAAGCAACCTCCCTGGCTGGCCATGTGCAAATTTCAACCGAAAACACAAGCAGCTGCCCACCGTTGAGGTGGTGGTCGTGGAGGTGATGGTGCTGGTGCTGGTGGTTGTGGTGCTGGTGACCTCAGGAATAGATATGCCCAGCATCTGGAAGTGGCATAGTCATAGCATATCATAGCAATGTTTAGGGACTTGCACAATACTCTTTGTAGCCGCGTTCCAGCGGAGAAGGGTTCGCGATTGACAGTAAAGCGTTCCCACCAAGGAGTCTTTTTCTCCAACATCGCACGACACTGCATCATGTGCTTGTTGAGGTTCGTGTACGACAACCCCTGCTGGCCAACTATTGCTTTGACTACGATGTTTGTACGACAGACTTGGTGTCCCAAACTCGCGAGTCTGAGATCCCTGCTGTAGAGGTGCTCGTGGTTGTCGTGGAGGTACTTGTGATGGTCGTGGTCGAGGTCGAGGTCTGCTACGGTCGAAAGTCATCAACACAGATTTTAAGCCGAATCCAGAAGTCATGTTTAAGAATGTTGCTACTTTGGTTGATGTCAAATGTAATGGCACTATGGCATTGATAAAAAAGAAAATCTTGGCCAAAATACTCCGGACCCTGCGCGAAAGTGTTTTGGAGGTTGAAATACAGAGAGAGAGAGAGAGGGAGATCAAGAGTCTTCTCCCAGGGTTGTTGTTCTCCTCTTTCCTGGTTTTAACCACCACCTATTAATCATACATACGTATTCTTTTTGAAAATACTGAAAGATCAACGAAGTAGTGCACAGGCACTGGCACCCTGGAATATTATGCCATATTATACCGTATGCAAAAAAATGACATGATATCAAAGATGTTTTCCGTTCAATAGAACAAACAGAATTGTCCAAGCGGGTGGCCCACGGGGACGATGGACCGGAATTAATGTGCTTTGCTTGGTATGAATTGGTTGTCTTTTGATTAGGGATCGGAAAAATATATCCCCACTGCAATCATCCGCCACGCACTAACTTCCTTTCATTTGGATTTCCCTTTTCTTCCTCTGTAAAGGCAGTTCAACAAAAAGTAATCCCTGTGCATGTTCTTTTGACGTCTTTTCTGAAAGCCATTCACGGCTCTATTGCTTGGTGGGGGAGAAATCAGGATCCCAAAGGTCCAAATTCGTTGTTTGTCCCACCTGTGTTGCCGGGAACCGAGAATCGTCCGCTTGGTCTCTAGCGCACTGCGCCCCGCACCGTTGACGTTGAGGTGGTGATCGTTGAGGTGGAAGTGCTGGTGCTGGTGGTCGTTGTAGTCGTCAACTGAGGCGAGCCAAGATCGGTGCCCGGGACTCGCGCGGGATCTAATTCTTCACTTTTCCACCCGAAGGCTCCTGCCCCAAAACAGCAGACCCGACATCATGTGCCCTCATGATTCTGATGTCCCACTTCTGATCTTGGGTCTGGCCGCGTACGCACCACGTATGCGCTGCGGGGCCCTGGTGGAAAGGCACCTCACAAGACTTGGCCTTGACCTCCTTGGCCACACTGCCTTCAGGGTGGCCCTCACAACCTGGAAGCGAGGTTGTGAGAACAGCTGCAGAGTGTTCGACAGCAGGGGCGATACAGCGTGTTGAACATGTTTGACTGAGTTTTGATCGTTTCAACATCCTAATTACCAGTAGCCGCCCAGCAGCCTGTGGCAAAGCCACAGGTTGACTTTCAAATGCTTCGAAGCTGTAACATTACGACTCTCAGAAAAAGAAATGACACCAAACGGATCCAAACGGAGACTTCTAACACGGTCACTTTTACCGGACCCTTGAACAAAACTCTTTGAACCCCTAGTTTAACACCAGTCTAGTTGGAACACTGGAGTGGCGATTGGAGCCTAGAACCCAGAAGAAGCGCCTGGCAAATGAAACAAACAATGACTATGGCATACTACATGTGGCGATGTGTTTCATTTGGTTTATTTTTTTCATTAGATTTCATGCGTTGTTATTGACAAAATACTTTGGAACTCCAGCTGTCGAGGATTTCATAGAATTGCTCATGTCTGTCTCCCAGCCTCCTCGCTGCCAGCACTTCTTTTCAGGCCACCATCCATAAGAGATGGCAGGATCATCGAAGTCGAAGATGCACCAGGTGCCACAATGGCTGAACCTGAGAACTCAAAGAGATGTCACAAGACGTGTGTATAACCATCCTCCAAAATGCTGAGTCCATGCAAATAGCTGTTCTGCCTTCATTCATAGCTGTCTCCAAGCAATAGCTGCGGACCCCTCTGACTATTCAGCCGTTGACAGTCTGACAGAGACCCATGGGTCTCCGACATGTGATTCGCCAGAGACTTCTGCACCGCGATCGTGTCATCTGGCGCGACTTTGGCCGATGTTTGGCCAACCACCGCGATGCCGGTCGTGGCGGGGAAGACACAAACCCTTCGAGCTCGAAGAACAAGGGAGCTTGGCACTTGCGTGGGGCATGTTTAAGAGCAAATCCATACTACAGCTTCCATGTCGATACAGCAACTTTGGCTTGCTCCTCTTGCCACAAAGTGCTTGTGGAGATTTGGAAGAAAGCTGTGCGTGGACAGTGGTGCAAAATGAGTCTCGCCATTGGTTTCATACTGGGAAGGTCTTCCTCACCCTGTGAGGATGCTTAAAACGTGAGTCACGAGACTCGCATCAGCATGGGATTGGCATGCTAGACCCTGCAAAAAGAATCAGCAGGACGTTTATCAGTCACAAAATCAATTGAGTCAAAATGTACAGCCCAAGCAGCATCAGTACGAAGAAGATCAAAGAAGTCTTTTTTCTGCCAAGCAGAAATCTGCCTGCTCCTCCCTCACCAGCCCCTTTTAACCCCAGGCCACCCCGAGCATCACCTTCACAGCCCTGCGCGGTGATGCTGCGATCCTCGCCCGTGCGGCTCAAGTCGCCACCTCAAGGGGTGGTGATGTTGCTGGTGACCTCCGGTGGCACAAGGCATGCCACAAGCATGCCGTCTGAGGTAGAATCAGTAGCCCGATGTATCAATCAGCGCGACCATTGAAAGCGCGGCAGTTCAACGCCACTCGGGTGGTTCAGTGCGGTGCACATGCAGCAACATGGTGGACATGCTCATGGAATTCAACTCCACAGAGTGGAACACTGTCTTGGGAATGGCCTAGCTTGAGGCATAGAATTCCAAGGTTCAAACAGTACCGCGTCATCAGGGCATTGCTGAAGGTCGGAACCATATGGATGCATCCAGCGTCCTGGCAACAACGAAAACGACTTCACTACAAAACGCATCAAAACGCAGTCCATCACATCCCCATCGTCCAAAGGACTGTCACAATGAGTCAGCCCTCGCTGGGAATCCAGGTTGGACAACATCATTCACATGCGAACACACGACAATGGTTGGTGGCTGGGTGGCTCCACTTTGATCCATCGATATAGTATTATGATTATATGATTTATATGTGTGATCTCTATTCTGCACACAAGCTTCCTTTTCTAACACCCGCTGGCGAGCCACAGGTGTTCATTGAGGCCTGGCACATCTTCGACTTCTTCTTAATGGCCAAAGCTTGGTCCACAGAACCAAAGCAAGGGTTCCCTGCACCTGCGCTGCCGTTTGCATCTCGCCAGGCCAAACGGCCAGGCCGTGAAATCAACACGCGAAGATTCACGCCATGGATAGCCATGGCTTCTTTGGGATGGTGAGATCTCCCGGCTCTATCGTCTGGGGTCTTTTTCCCCGTTGGTCTGTCAGTGTTCACTTCTGAAACTCGTAGGAATGTGTCCTTCAGATCTTCTCATCCAAGAATTGTATCCCATTCCAGGGAGAACGTCCCACAGCTCCGAAGAGGAGCTATGCTCAGCATCAATCCAAATCCAAATTTGGAAGATCCTTCAAAGAGCAAATCTATACGAGCTTTCTTGCTGCTCATGTTACTCATCTAAATGTATCATATATGGTCCAGGGATGTCTACAGTATATCCTGCACAGTGATAATCCTGTCGGTCCCGCCATGTGCGGCCCCGCCATGTGCGGCCACGCCTCCAGCCTCATAGCAACCTTTGCTTGAATCCCACTGATAGACCTCACTCGTTCGACTAAGTGCTCAGACGACACCGTGCTGCCGGTGAGGGCGCACACGCAAGCTGTGAGTCGAAAGGCATCGAAAGGACATCGAAAGCAGGCCCCTGTGAGGGCCCCTGTGGGTCTCATGTGCTCTACTCAGGTCTCTTCTTTTGGGATTCTTTGTGCACATAAGACATGAAATCAAATGAAGTCAGGAGACATCCCCCAGCGATTTTCGATTCTTGCCTGACCTTGACGATGCAGTGATATATTCAGAGAGCAAGACTAGTGACTAGTGACCCTTGAATCATTGGCAATTACAGGTCATATGGGTACAGAAGTTCTCCTCAAACAATGTTTTTCTTGTCAGCTGAGACTGCTCTTCCAAACAAATGAGAGGACATATTGAACCCGGGGACTCCCAAGGACCCAGTCATTGTATGCAAAGGTCCAGGTATGCCCAGGTAACAAAAGAGCCGTTTACCCCGTAAGCTTGCTGGTCTGCTGCAGCACACACAGCCCGCCGATAGAACATTGGGTGTGAAGTTTCTGATGATTTCATACTCGGCAGAGCCCTCGAACAAAATTGAAGCTGCTACTGTTTCTCAAAGCAAGAAAGTCACCAACCTAGTGCGGCAAGAGCAAATCCCATTGGGTGTATTCAAACTTGCTTCTTCCATCTGATTCCTTCAGTTGGCCCTTGGCCTCACGGGCCTCACCTCGTCATTCCCCTGGGCCCAGACGATCTGGTCGGGCTGATCGAAGTCGAACACGCAGCTGGCCTCACCGCAGCTTTTGAACCTCAGGACCGGGTTCCGACCACCGGTCACCGCGGGTTCCGTCGGTCAGCCAAGATGGACAGTCTGGTGGGATTCCAAAACCATGTGAAAACCTGCCCGAGGATCTCCAGGTATATAGTGATGCTGTGGAGTGGGATGTGAGATGGCTGTAGTGATGCTATTGGAAGAAACAGCCTCTCTCCCAGCTCCATCCTTTCAGGAGTCACATTGATAGATGGTGTCGCTTAAAGCTGGGACAGTGGAAAAGGGATGATTTTCAGATTGATGGAAGATGACTGCTGACATGTAAGCTGCCCTGAGCTGCACATGCACAAAGACATACCAAATGCAGGCTTGGAAAAAATAAAGGCAAGCTGGATGCGAATTGTCCTATCACAGATCCACATCTCTGCCTACCATTCTGCATCACTGAAATACGCCGGGAGTAGGGGCATATAACTTTGGCCTGTGCCCTCGAAGGGAAGACCTAGAAGACCTACACACTTCACATCAGCAAAGCAAACGACAAACAAATGCTTGAAGTTGCTCGGTGAACCAGTTTTGTCGTCCCAGATGGTGAAGATTGGTGTCAATGTGCCTCATATACGTTCCACGGTCCGGCAAAATAGTGAAGTCTTCCAAAAAATGAAAAAGGGACTCCAAAAAATATCAATTTCCAGTAGCCCTTCCATCCTTCAATCTGCCAAAAAACCATGGCTTGTGGCGCTCCGTCATCCATTGCATCCCACCAAACCCTTGAGAATCCTCGAGAGAAGGCATCCTCCACGATCCCTGCCAATCCGCCGGGCAGCATAAAATTGGCCAAAGCCTTCTGCAAGAAGACCGTCATCGCGCCATCACAGGCCCTGAGAGGTGAACCCGTGGCCCACTTCGCCGACGACGTGGCTTTTCACTTTCATCGACCTCTCACGTGGAGTAAAATACAAGCCTTTCGTGTCGACTGCACAGTGAGTGTCGAGTTGATAGACGTCCCTCGACGAATAGACGTCCCTCGCAATATGTTGTTGAAGAATCCACCAAGTGCACTGGCCGTGAATGGAGATCCTTTGAGATCGGGATTCCAAGCCGAGGAGTCCCGGTCTGTCCCGGTCTGTCGTGGATGTTTTAGAATCTGACCTGGAGACTGGAGATGAAGTGCTGAGATTTGTTCGCAGAGTGCGACTGTCATAACGACTGCCGCATAGATGCTTACCAGGCCCACCCAGGTGAAATCATAGGCTGGTGAGTGGGGATGACAGCTGATGAGCTGCCCGTGCCAGCCTTGCTGTAGACAACTGGCTCGGCTTGCCTTCACCTGAAACAGCTCTATCATGTCCAAAGAAAACTAAGGCGATCGCAAAAAGAGTCGCTGTTTATATTAAGAACAGTACCAAATCAGCAAGGCTTAGCCATGCCCAGCTCAAAAAGAAAAGAAACGCCTGGATATCAAATCCTTGTTGATTCTGTCGCATGGCCTGAAATGCAGGAGTCCGCAACATCTCAGGCTGGCACAGTAGGTGTTCATCAAAGCACTGCTCAAGGCCGGCTGAACCGGGGTGCAGTCTTCCTCAGGCAAAATGGAGTTGCTCCCTGGTGGAGTTGAGTGAGCTTGAAGCAGCCCACACGGTGTCCCACATACACCAAAACAAGGCAACAAGGGCAGCAGTGCAGCACTGCCAAAAATGGGCAAAAAACAAGTCACATCTGCATTGGCTGCACTGTCGGCAGAACCGACACCTGTGTTGATTGGTAGATTAAAGTTTGCTATATGCCGTATTGCCCCCAGCGTAGGACAATCGAGTTGCTCTGTGCGTCAAAATTCGTTTAACCTGACTTCATTGACTTCAATTCAACTTGTCGAGTCAGGTGAAGCCACCAGCCGTGCGATGCATGTATCCTGCCAGGAGGCTGTGCCATTGCTGCTCACTCCATTGCCCTGTGGCACGGATTGAGCATGCAGCGCATGCAGGACCTGTTCAACCTCCAACCTTTCCTTCAATCCAAATGAAGAAAGTTCAGTCATTCCTTCAAGACAGACACGTGCGGACACCCTGAAAGGACATGAAAGGACAACCAGGGAAAGAAAACCAGTGCATTCTCAAGGAGTATCTCGCCCGATTCGGGGTAAAGTTCAGAAAGGGATCAACAGGGCGCCAACCCCCTTCTTCATCTTCCTCTCTTTGTCACTGCAAGATTCTCACTATCTATTTCGGATGTGGCAAGAACTGTCCTGGCCAGGTATGGCTCTGTCATTAACTTCCTCATATAAGGGTACAGGATCCGAAAATTCAAATGGAAAAGCCACCAAACCTCAACTACCTTCAATGGCTTTCCAGGTAAGCTCTGATATGTGTTTTCAGGTGGCATGTCAGCCGAGAGGATGCCTTTGGATTGCCAAGGTACGTCCAAAACACGTCGAAAACATTTCAATGAAAACAGTCGAGCAGCAAACTTCAAAGCCGACGCATGACTGAGCAGAATGAAACCTAGGTTGCAGCAGGAAGGCAGGAACTGTCGAGAGCACGGAGTCAAACAAGACGACTGGGAGCCTTTCTTGAGGCAACTTCTTTGGCCTGCAAGAATTGTTTGGCTCATTGCTCCCAGGCTGTTTCCCCAAGGCTGTTCCCCTTCGACCTTCATCCTATCGACATTTAAATGGCTGATCTCCAGCCAAGCCGCTCAAAAGATGTGGAGTGCGACACTTCATTGCGGAGATCCAGGGGGCCCCGGCCCAGCGCGGCCGATCTGAGCCCTTTTTGGGGACGAACATGTAGCGGTGCTGTTGGGGGAGAGGAGCTCTGTGTGAACAGCAAGGAACTCACCAAATGTAGAAAATTCAAAGCGCAGAAGGTGAACGTCAGGAGCGGGACATCAATGTGAAGACTTCATATGACTGGATTCGACCGGATCTCTGCATTCCGGATTCCTCTGGTGTCTTAGCACAGCAGAGCTTGGTAGGTCAGGTTGTGAGATGTATTTTTGGCTCGATGAATATTATGACAAAACGAAATCACAGACTAATCGGTCTGACCTGCAAGAGACAGGACAATCCGGAATCAATCCAGCCTGAAGATCCTGAAAGGCCAATTCGGGTGGTTCGGACGGCGCCTCACTTGCGCACGCAAGATTCGAACAGCTGTACACACAGCATTTCTTGATACAAGTAACTCACCTGCGCACACAGGATTCGCTCACCTGCACACACATCGATTACATCCTTGTTCAAAAAGTGCCTGGTACCTCAAACTCAGCTGCGCACACAGATTTAGCTGCACACACAAATTGAGTTGATGTGATGTGCACACCATATGTCATTCTTTCATGATATGTCGTTGGGTCAGGTCTCCACACACATGCTCGTGTTAATGACGTCCCTCTGGACATTCATCTACATGATGGTCTCTTTTTGCTCATTGCTTCACCAGTACCATGTAACACAGATGCTCTGCACTTGATTGATGTTGTTGGGTTGGGATGGGGGGGTGGGGGGGTGTTAATAACGTCCCTCTGGACATTCATCTACATGATGATCTCTTTTTGCTAACTGCTTCCACAGTACCACGTAACACAGATGCTCTGCGTTCTTCATTCATTCATTCATTTCATTCGTTTCATTTCATGTCATGTCATTTTATTTTCACTTTTCATTATCATTATCATTAACATCTTCATTTCATTCATTCGTTCGTTCATTCATTCATTTTTCACAAACTCCTTCAGTCCCTCATTCATCCACTCATTCACTCGCTCATTCACTCATTCATGTTTCACAAACTCCTTCAGTCCCTCATTCATCCACTCATCCATTCATTCATTCGTTCGTTCGTTCATTCATTCATACAGCCGAGCAAAGCGGCGTGCACAACCGAGAAAGCGCGTGCACAACCGAGCAAATCCAAGCGCGTGTACAGGCGAGCAAATTCCGCACAGCCGAGGCCCCTTTTTGAATATGGCCCTTGGTTCAAGGTTCCAGCGACCCGGCCAGGATTGAGCAAGGTCGAGCTGCAAACGCTGAAGCGAGGTCGACCTACCTCCATAAATACAGACTCCTGACCAAGGCATTACAGACTGAAGCCACTTGAAAGCACTTACATCCATAAAATTCCATAAAGCAATGAATTGGTGGAAGGTTGAAGTGAAAGTAGAGTAGATGGGATCGGCAAACATGAATTCTGTACCTGGAAATCGGACATCACGTGGCTGTTACGAAGGAATTGAGGGGTTCGTGTCGTGCAGTCAGCTTTGTCGTGCCTCCGCGGCTGGTTTCAGGTCCCTCCCCGCGGACGGATCAATCCATTTTCCGAAGCCCAAACGGTGACAAGGCGGCGAGGTCCCGCCCTGCCATCCAGCTAACCGGCCTGGGAGATTGAAAGGAAAGGTTCCAAATTGGGATATCCAAATGGTGCAAGGCATATCCAAATGTTTTGCTTTCCAGCAAGAGTCGAGTTGTGATCCTCTGTGCTCCAGCAACATCAGTTTCAGACTGTCAACAGTTTGACGCTTTGACACCAAAAGCGACGGTTCGCCTTGCAGGCCAAGGCTTTTCGTTCGATGGCGAAAGCTTGGGCCTCAGTGCCCTTACAGCCTCACGCGCAGCTGACGGGCTGCAGACTCGTGAAAGTTTGGGAGCTAAACACAGCAATGTATGTAATGATATGCTTGAACAAAAATCTGCCAGCACATGAGAGTGGAAATGATAACAAAATCAGAGTCACAGCACTGTGCATGTGGAGACCCTTGGAGGGTCTTGATCTTTGGAGAAGAGTAAAACTCAAAATGCATGTCACCGCAGCCTTTTGTGAGCAAGTTGAAGATGTTCAACTGTTCGGCCATGCTAAGATTTTAAACCACATGCTCCTATTCTGATTGGTTGTGATCCAAACAAGGAAAGCCAAAGAAACCGTGCCTGCTGGGTTCTTCTCGTAGCAGTGTGACTGTGCATTCCAGCCGTACCATCGTCCATGAGGAAAGTCATAGTCGAAAAGGCATTGCGCACCACACTGGCTAAACCTGGGCTATGACGTTCCCGAGATTCTAATCATAGGTCAGCACCTTCCACAGGAATTCCGACCCCGAAACGAGCAGTGAAAGCTTCCATGGGACAAACCGTTTCTGTGGTATTTTCCTTCAGTGGTGTAGTATACAAACTCCGGGCGGCTATTTTTCATGAATGTGTATATGTTTTCTGGGTTTGTTGTGATTATGAGTTTTCGAGGGTGGCTAGAAGAACTGTAGAAAAAGAAGACAGGTGCTCGAACGCAAACAGCAGGACCCAAATATGAACTACACTGAAATAGAAGAAATGCACCCCGCACAAGGAAGCTGTGGATGCCAAAGGAAGATTTGTGCGCCATCGTGGCAGTCTAAACTCAGCAATTGAATACCGGGGCCTACTGTAAATGTTTCAATGTTTCAAGTGGTTGTGGGTGGAAACCCGCCTCTACCCTGTGGTTCACACCCAAATATTTATGATGCTTTGTAAATTGAGCTCATACACGCCTCAAACCAGCATAGGCCAAGACCAAGCCCCATTTGGTTCACAGTTCGCGTGAATTCTGCCGCACGGGATTCGCCGCGTCAGCGGCCTTGGTTGAATTGCTTGCCGGGCTACATGAGATTTGCCAAGGCTTTCTTTACCATGGGCGTGTCGGTGAAGTGGCATGCCCTGCGAAACCAACAAAACATTGAAGAGACCAACACTGTTCTGAATTGGATTCTTTTAGACGCTGACAAAACCTACATGGCGCTGGATGTTCCACATCATCCAAGTGTCACAGGTTTCATTCCTACTGCTTGGTCCAAAGTCAAGCCCGTCACTGTCAAACATATATAAGTTTGTATTCCATAAATGTACATATTACTTGCGATCTGTTGTCATAGGATGTCATAGGTGATACGGTGGACAATCCCCTTGCATTTGTTCAGTCTCCTTGCATGCTCGCTGATGTCCACTGGATAGTGCAGCAAATCACCTTGTGGAAGGCCGAGCCATGGAGAGTCCATCACCGAGGATCAGATTCAAAAGGATGAGATCACAGTGAAGGGCTATTCAAAGCGAATAGTCTAAAGTATAACTTGCTATTGCTAACTGACTAACTAACTGTTTGCCAACAACTCGCATGGCCAATCTTGCTCTCTCCCAAAACGCCCATTCCCGGAAAGACCGAACGCCGTGTTCGCTAGCACGTTCAAAGTGTCGGATCCGAGGCACCGCATTGCTGTTTCATGAAATCATTGGAGAGTTTCCCGGAGAACGGCACACAGCCATCCTGGCGACAACTCGCACCAAGTGCTTGCAAATCAACTGCAACAACGGACATGGTGCACATGTCAATCATACAGTTGCATAAATTCCAGCGCGGCTGCAACGGCCATGGGCTCACACAACTCTGCCGCAGAGAGCGGGTCACCAAGCAGCTGAAGCCCAGGACACGGGGCGATGCGCTCGCCGTCTCTGTCTTCCCCCTCTCCTCTGGGCTGGATGCAGCAATCAACTCATGGGTTGGCAACGATGGCGCATGGTATGATCAGCTCAGTTAGACAATTCAGCAGGGCACAATCAACTGTATAAGGTTGACAATTCAAGGCGAACTAACCAACTATATATTATACACAGTGAGAAACTCAGAGGAAGGCACGATGAAGGAAACATTCAACGATTCAGGACGGGACAATGGCCTGGACAGTGGGTGTCTGCGCGTGTGTGTGTGTCACTGTTGGAAAATTGGCAGGGCACCGGAACGAGTTCCTGCAGGTCAAACGACACGATGGCAGCGCCCGCACAACGAAAAATCCTACACTTACACGAAGGAGGAACACGTCGTCCATATCTGCCCAGGGTTCACAAGCGGTTATGTCAAGAGCGCCAGTCAATCCTTCAACGTTGTGAAGATATATGAATAGCATCTGGCCGTAAATCAACACGAAGTATCACGAAGTCACGTCCATTGAAATCAAGGTTGTGACCATAGTGGCCGTTCAGCATCCGCTCAGCTCAGGGAGTCTCCCAGAATATGCAACGAGCCACAACTGGCCTTTCCGTCTACAACACCCAATACCTTCAAACATCTACAAACACACCTAGCTCATCATAGATTATGTTTACCAACGATTGCAGGCTGTTTTCTGCCGCCTGGTAACAAAGCGTCTTTCTGTGGTCTTAAAGCACCAAGGGATCCCAACAAATTAGGATCCCGTACAGAGCTGCGAAAGTGCCCATTCAGAGGAAAATCGTTCATGCACGAGTTCATCCTAGGCGACAACATGTCCGGCTGCAGTCACATGCTAGGAAAGGTGTTGACTTACCATAATCCAGTCGTTCAGCTTCTGGCATCTGTTGGAACACGTTGTTTCAGGCATGATTCGGGGTTCCGCCCACTTTCTGCCCATCCGAAGGTTAAAGGAGCAGAAGAGTCGGCCCGCCTCGTTCACTCTGATGCGCTCGTCCTGCACAGCAACATGTCCAGGCAATGCAAAGGTGTTCATGAGAAACAAACTGAGCCTGGATATGCAGAATTCTAGGTTGGAGGCCATCGCTCTTAGGTTGGAGGCCATTGCTCTTAGGTTGGAGGCCATTGCTCTTAGGTTGGAGGCCATTGCTCTTAGGTTGGAGGCCATCGCTCTTAGGTTGGAGGCCATTGCTCTTAGGTTGGAGGCCATCGCTCTTAGGTTGGAGGCAGTCGCACTTAGATTGGAGGCCATCGCTACAGGACCTGATGGAATGCTGGGCGTTACTCATAGAAAAATCACTGGCACAAATTACAGCGGGTGGAGGTGCCAAAATGTACAGTAACTTACATGGTTCCATGATTTGGCACCTGAAAAAGATAATATGTCCTTCAAGCATGTTTGGTACGTTAAAAAATATAATGTTAAAAGATGCAATGCCACATTTTGCAGGTCCCCCTGCAATTCCACTCAAAAGCCTGGGGGTCTGATTAATGTAACCTCATTTTCCTGGGAATCGCACACTCATCTCTACTCGAGTGTCAAGATCATGAAGTTACAAGCAACACCCTGCCAAAAAATGCAAAATCTTGGGCTTCAGGGGATGCAGAAATGCAACTAACTTCCAACGTATTACAGTACCTTTTTTGAGTCCCCACCTCCCCCCAACTAAGTACTACTACATAGGTACCTGTGGAGATTTGACTTGGGCTAGGGGATCCCGGAAAATTTAACATGTTGGGACCTCCTGTGGCCAAAACCACGGTTAGTGGGGCGATTAGGGATGAAACTTTTTGAAAATAGTTCCTCTGACGGTTCTCCGTTTGTATGAGTGCTGGAAAGATCATGGTCTAAAGTTTGGGGCCGTGGGCATCCATCAGGCACTTCGGCCATTTCCGAATCGTTTTCGCGGCACACATGCTCTGTGGACCTCCCTTTGACAAGCCCACGACGTAGGTCTTGCCATTCCAATCGAATTCCCAACTGGACCAAGTCCGTCAATTGTCCCGGTCTGGTGTCCCTGGTGACCAGAACCCTGAGAAGCAGGGAGGTCTCCTTGCAGAAACTCTTCTTGCGCAGCAGGGCGCCCTGCTGCTCGTAGCGGAAGCCGCAATGGTCTGCAACGGTGCTGCCGTGGAACAAGGGGGCGGAGAGCGGCAACTCTTCATCACCTGTGCCTCTGCCTTTGGTGCTGACCACACACAGCCTTTGCTGCATTGAGAGACACTTCTCAGACTCAGACTCAGGCTGCCTACAGTATGCAAAACCCTCAGAACATTTTTATGAGGGCTGGTGGCTGGTTCCCATCAATTGAGACTCATTCGGCACGCTCCGTGAAAGTTCGAGTTTGTACGAACATCTTTGTTTAGAGTGAACTTTCAAAATACCACCACGGTAAGGGTCATCTGTTGGGTCGCTCAAACGCTGATCCTTCATTTATTGTATCGATCATGACACTTTTGACGCGGCCCGGTGCCTGTCTTCAGCCAACAGCTGTTGCCTTCAATCCAGGCATAGGCCACTTTGGGGTTGTCGAAGTCAAATAGGCATCGGGAGCTGCATTGTTCAAACCTAGCAGGCCGTTCTCGAGTTGGCATTCTTCCAACGCTTTGTTTCCTCACAAAGGAAAGGTTACACAAAGGCGAGAAAGAAGAAAATCATGGTCTGCAAAGGTCTGGGGCTTCCTCTCAGTAGCAAGAAACACCCTTTGCCATCCTTTGCCACTGGGTTTCCCGGCATCAAGTTCGCCAAGGAACGTCGCACCTGTCACGCTCTGGTGTCCATTCTTGGTTTCTTACAGATCCACTGTAAACAACGCCAAGCTAAATACACCTCAATGCTTTTTGGACTAGCAAGGAACGCATCTGGTCGGCACCAGCTCACTCGATAATCAAATGGCGTCATCCAATGACCAACGAACTCGAGAAATTGTTCCGAAAGTAACCAAAAGGGCCTGGTACGTGTAAGTCATGTCGCAGCCCACAGCAGAGGCGAACTTCTCAGCGGTGGATCCAGGAGTACCTGCGCATGGCTTTGGATGGCTTCGGCGGCTTCAAGATCTTCAAGCTTCCCCAAGGGGGGCAGTCGAAGGAAGCATCCCCTGCATCCCTTTTGGCATTCCACCTCTGGTCATTGTCCAACGGCCCGTTTCTTCTGGCCGCCGAGCTGTCGGGTTCTGTCACGTCGCCCGGAACGTCGCCGGCGGCTCACCAAGAATCACTCAACAAGCATGCCGGGCGCTCCAAAGCCTCGCCTAAGTCTGGAGATGAACCTCCAATCTAGAACTGCAGTTTTGAAAGCAAGTGTCCGAAATTTGGGTTAGAGGGTTTTGGATGGTCACACTGGTCAAGGAGCTGCAATTCATGAAGGTGCCCCACAAAATCTCCGCGACGGAGCTGGGGATCATCACACTTGATAAGGAGCTGCAACTCTCAAAGGCACCACAACCAATGTGGGTCACAGAGTTGGGGATGATTACGCTCGCTAAAGAGCTGCATTCCTCGAAGATTCCATCCCCAAGATGGGTCACAGAGTCAGCGATGCTCACTCTCACCAAAGAGCTGCAGTTCATGAAAGCACGATCCCCAATGCAGGTCACAGAATTGGGAATGGTCACACCTGCCAAGGAGCTGCAGTTCATAAGGGCTCCATTCCCAATGTGTGTCACTGCGTCAGCGATGGTCACACTTGCCAAAGAGCTGCAGCCTGCAAAGGCGTCAGGTCTGATTTGGGTCACAAAATCAGGGATAGTCACACTTTCCAAGGAGCTGCAGAATTGGAAGGCACCTTCCCCGATGTGAGTGACAGAGTTGGGAATGACCACACTTGCTAAGGAGAAGCAGCTGTGGAAAGCAGAATGGCCAATTCGGCAGACGGAGCTGGGTATGGTCACGTTTGCCAAAGAGCTGCACTGCTTGAAGGCATTATCCATAATGTGGGTCACTGAGTCAGGGATGCTCACACTTGCCAACTTTCTACAGAGTTGAAAGGCTTCATCCCCGATGAAGTGCACAGAGTTGGGGATGGTCACACTTGTCAAGGAGCTACAGTTCTTGAAAGCACAACTTCCAACACGCGTCACTCCATCAGCGACGGTCACATTTTCTAAAGAGTTGGAGCTTGCAAACCAGCCCGCACGAATCGGATTCTGGCTCGCCAAGGCAGGGATGGTCATACTTCTCAAGGAGTCGCAGAACTCAAAGGCACAAAATCCAATGTATCTTGCAGAGTTGGGAATGGTAATGGCTGTCAATGAGCTGCACTTCATGAAAGCACAAGCCCCAATGTGGGTCACAGAGTCCGGGATGGTCACCCTTGCTAAAGAGCTGCACCCATAGAAGGCACTATCGTCAATATGGGTCACAGAGTCAGCAATTGTCACGCTCATCAAAGAGCTGCAATTCTTGAAAGCATCGTGTCCAATGCAGTCGTTAAAGGTGCATGAACAAATTTCAGTTTCAGTGTTTGGGATTTCGACTACAATCAAAGACTCCAAGTCAATCTCACGGCCAAACTGCGAGAAGGCACCTTTGTCAGAGCATCTCACGGAGTTCTCTTTAAAGAGGACAGTGACATTGGCTTCTGGAGAAAGGGCCGCATCTGCAAGCGTCTCATCGTTCTCCAGCAAGCTGCCATCTTCTAGAACCAGCTCCACCCAATTGGTTCGGCATGTCAGCTCCTCCTCCGACATTCGCTGCTCTTTGATTTTCTCCTTGAGTTCACGGCCCGTGATGCTTGGCGCGATGCCCGTGAGGCACATCACTTCTCCATTCAGCAGCGTAAATGACATGTCCATGACAACTTTGTACAATAGTGGGGTCACAACAATGGGCTTTGACTGCCTTGCAGCTCAGGTCGTTGATTCGGATGCGAGTTCCGAATACCTCTCAAAAGCTTGCCGTGAGCTGGTGTGAACCAAAAGCTAGGTGCCAAATGCCGTGAACACAACCACACTGAAACAGTGTCACAAAATTATCACGAACAATTCAACGGCAACACTCGAACCGCAAGGAACATCTTTTTCAAAGGGTTCCTCCCCGAGCGAGTCGAGTCGGTCGTCTCAAGAACGAGTCGAGTCTAGAGACCTGGTGGCCCCGAGTCTAGTGACCTGGGGCCTGGTGGAGTCCGGTTCAACGGAGTCGGGGCATAAAAAAAAATAATAATAAAAATCACTTAGTAGCTTTTTGTTACTAGTAGTAAAGCCAGGAGCCCCGATGCACTTGTTCCTAGTAGCTTTTTGTTACTAGTAGTAATGCAGCTTCTGGGCCCAAAGCCCTAAGGCTTAGGAGACTGGCCCCCTGCGGCTGCCTGTTTGGCCTCGCGGCTGAAAGGCAGTGTCCACTAGCGGCCAGCCTACCTGGCCGCAGGCCTCAGGTTGTGCCTTGAAGCTGGTGTGACCCGCGTGTGTTCTCGCGCCATGGATGAGCTGGAGCCCGTGTGGGGCGACCTCCAGGAATCTGTGAGGAATGGGGTGTTTGGCCTTTTTTCTGGCCTGAAGGCAGGGTATTTCCCCTCGATCGGCCCCTCGACCTTCGTGGCCGGCAACGTGACATCGTTTGGTGATGAGTGGATTGTTTTACAAGCCTTGTGGTTTGTTCCGAAAGCTGGTTTTCAGGGCGACAAAGACACTTTGAATGTGAGGATTGCATTCCAAGGGTTGAGCGACAAGTGTTTGCATGTTTGCCCTGGCATCCAAGTGGTTTGCATCGGCGACTGTTCTTCCATGCTTGATGGCAACACCTTGACATTGAGAAATGCTCGCATTTGTTTCAGGCCTGAACACGAGCCGACATTACCAGTTGATGTCATGCACTTGTTCTGCGGCGCATATGGTGGATGGAGTCAGGCCGTCCGCTGGCTTGACAAGACCCAAAGATTGTGCCTTGGACAAGAGATGTTCATCGACAGAGACCCACAGGTGATGACCGTGTGGAACGCCAAGCACTGTGCTGAATTTCGTAGGCTACCATTGGACGCCAACCAAGCCTGGTCACATGCAAAGAACGTAGGACTCTGCGGGAACATCGCTGATCCTTCGATTATTGATGCATGCAGGTCCCAAGCAAATCTGGTAGTCACAATGTCTCCGCCATGTCAGAGTTGGAGCAAGGGAGGGCTCCGAGCCGGCATCGAAGACTCCAACGGACAAGCATTTTTAGATGCACTGGTGTTGGCTTTTTCTGTCCAGACGACTAGCATTGCTGCCGAATGTGCGGATGACATAGTCACACATCCTCACTTCAAGATTGTCAAAGCCCTTGCAAGTGCCTTGGGCTACAAATTAGTGTGGGATCAGGTCACTCCGTACCATGTCATGACCTCACATGCCAGATCTCGGTGGTTGGGAGTGTGGGTTCGTGCGGACCTCACGATGCAGGCCTTTCCATTTCAGTTGAGGCTGCCGAGTTTTCCTCGCACTCATTGGACTGACCAGTGCTATCAATTCCCCATCCCATCACGATGGATTTCGCAGTTGCAGTTGTCGGACTCTGAATGCAGGATGTATGACTCAGTTCATTTCTTGCCACCGGCCAAACGTGCCAGGTTCGAGAACAAGAAGCCAGCCACCAACGAGGTCATCAGATCCAGGATCCCAAATGGATCAGATGTGCTCCCGACCTTGTGTGCCTCATATTCGAGGCAACACCACCTGGCTGAGCATCACTTGAAACAGAAAGGCATTTTTGCGTGTCTGCAGGAATCGGCATCCGGATTCCGGTTTCTTGACCCGGCCTTGTTCTGCAGCCTGTTTGGAACGACTGAGCACGTTGTTCTTTCTGAGAAGATTGAAGAGTCATTCCATTTCGTAGGCAATGCCATCACCGTCCCACATGGAGTCCTTGCCCTGTCCATTGTTCTGCATGCCACCAGTTCGTGTGCTGTTGACCCGATTGGACTTGTCAGGGAAGTGTGGGCTCAACGACTGACTGCTTATAATGCCATTTTGTTTGCTCAGGATGGACTTGTTCATTTGATCCCCATCAAGGACTTCTGGAAGTGGGTTTCCATCAAACCAGGAATAGACCGCTCCAAGGCCCAGTGGACCATGGCAGGTAGTTGCGCTGATGTCAAGTTTGAATTTCAGGTTCATTCAGATCAGACCATTCAGCAGATCTTTCGTGAACGATGTTGCATCCCGCAAAACCTGCTCCTGCAAATTTGTGGTCTGAATTCAGACATACGCATATGCAATCGCACTACCATCGAACAGATTGCCTGCCAAGAGAACACATTTCGGCTTGTTCTCGGCTTTGCCACACTTGGCCATTGCGAGCTTCATGCAACCTTGCGTCCCGACGCTCGTACTAAGGTCATCGATGAGTCTTCCAGTGAGCGAGCGGTTTCAACTACACTGCTGCCCATCCGGAACCTTGACGACCACTGTGAGTACAGCATCTTCCTCGAGATCCAGCGAATCGTCGAAACACTGCAAGACGATATTGCTTTATCCAAATATGCAGCAACAGTGGTAGTTTTGCCAGAGCAACTCAGCATCACTGTGTACATCTCGAATGATGAGCAATCCAAGTTTTTGCAGCGTGTGGCCAGTCTGCCACTCTTTTCAGACAGAAACAAGCGATTCTGCAGCATCCAGGGAGAACCTTGTCAATATCTTTTGATCTCTACTGCACAGTTCTGTGAGCATCCACAAGCAGCAGAGATTATTGTCAGGATCAACAAGAGCTTTGTCGTTGGAGCCTGTATGCCAGATGGTTGTCAACAGATCGACTTTTCCATCAACGACACGTGTCAGCCACTCACTATCAGTCAAGTCAATGGCTCCCATGTGCCATCAACGGGAGTTCCTCTCCAGGATGGTGACATTGTTGATGTGTATTGGCCTGCCCCAGTGCATGTTGGTGGCCACCACCACAACCTTGCAGCTCCACCGACATTGCCGGCTTTCTCCGATTTCACAGCCAGAACAGAATTTATGTGTGATACACATGGCTGGGTTGCTACGGATGAAAT